CAGTAATCTCCTCAACATTGATAGTCTCTTTCCCATATGTAAGAGTAGTCACCATGTGTTCGTAAGAGGGAGGCAACGAACACAACAGAATCATCGCTCTGTCTTCATCCTCAATTTTCACATCAAGCCGAGCCAGATCAGAAACGATTTGATTGAATACATTCACGTGTTGCGCCAAATCGTGATCGTCCTGCATCTTCAGCCCATACAGCCGCTGCTTCAGATACAGTTTGTCGTTAAGGATTTGGACATAAACTGACTTTCCAACTTCCTCCAAATTTCGTCTGGAGACGATAGATGCATGACGTGATACATGACCTCGTCCGCCAAGCATAATCGTATGGTTCCTGCCGCTCGCTGCTGCAATTCTTCCCAATCTTCCTCATCCATCGACGCCGGCTTTGTAGATTGCAAAGCCTTCAAGATCCCTTACTGCCAATAGATCCTTCACCCTCGTTTGCCATAATCCGAAGTTACCCTGACCATCGAATTTTGCGACTTCGAATTTTGCTCCTGACATCTGATACCAATTGTTGACATAAACGGGTAAAGAAAACAAAAGAACACGAGAATTTTACGAGGTTCGGCAATGTGCTTACGTCCTCGGTGCCTAGGCGGCGCTAGAAGTTTTTATTCAAAATAATATTTTAGGTCTAGGTTACATCTCTATTTATAATAGAAAACCCTGGTACATAATTACAAAATTAACCCTGTACCGTACCGCGAGGGCTGCGCCCCCGCACCCCCAACCCACATAATTCATAACCCCACAACGAGACTTTCTTTGTAAGGACAGTTGATGTTCGCTTCGCTCACTCCGCTCCATCTCCTGTCCTCTTTACTGGTATTTATGAGCCATACCTAACACATACGAAATTTATCTTGGCGTACCAAGTAACATAGTTGAGCCTTAGCTCCTTATCATTCACATAGTTTTCATTCATGTATTCATAACACAAGTTATCATACTTTTAATCTTACAAATCACATAGAACTATATCTTCACGTATCAAATACTTGTTTAGTACAATATCATGAGCATATGAAACTTATCATAACATGTCTTGTCTCATACTTACATAGCAACCTAATTTATTTCATGCTTTCATATCACACATATCATAGTCATATAAACTTAAAATAGCATGTTAATAAAACACATCATGAGAAATAATCTTATCAAGCTACCAATTTATCTTGATATTCAATGCTTTATGTGAGCCCATGATATATCAATTGAATTCACCTATAACAATTGTTAAAACATAGAATCAGAATGACATCGAGTCACTCAAACACATAAACTATATTCATCGTATATCTCAGATCATCATACCATTATCGAAAGCATGATTATCTCTTCTAGATATGAGTTTCTTCAATCTATCTCATGTCAAGCATAGAATCAAACACAAACTTTATCAATCAATCATTCGAAACACATTATAAAATTTTACAAATGAACATGGAAATTTTTAAGCTTTAAGGTGTTAGGTTTTGATGTTCAAAACCTTAAAAATAATGGAAAAATCACCACTAGACTTAGAACCACTTCTATTACAAAGGAGAACCACTAATTTACACAAGTCCTCATTTTAGGGTTTATGACTCAAGAACACTTAGGCTCTAAACATAACAAAATTGGTACCAAAAGAAAGCTAAGATCATGGGCTTACCAAACATACACTTGGATTTGAAAATCAATTGTTTGATTTGGAAAAAAATTATTTTTAAAACATGAGAACGCTTGAAGAATTGTATTTAATGGATGAAAGAGGAAAATGTTGAAAAAAGAGGAAAAAATCTTTTCTCCCTTTTAGATGGTTTTCACGTGAAAGCCATAAAAATTGGTACAATTTAGGCATTTTCTTAATTAAAAGAAATACCAAAAATTCTATAATTTAGACATTTGTTTGATGAGTCATCTCTAAAAAAACTTTTTTGGACAATTAATACCTTAATCCATAAACTTTAACATGCCAAAGAAAGAGCTTCCAAACTTTACTCACATTCCAAATTTAAACTTATTTATTCGAAAACTTGATTCGAATAAAAATAATACAAAAATTATCTATCATCAAAATCAAAAAAATTAGTAGACTGATTTTTTGGGTGTTACATGCAGCCGCTTAGAGAATAGTGGATGTAGAGATTTTCTACATAAAGAGAAGACTCATTTCAAGAGAAGACTCATTTCAGGAGAAGCTCTTTACCTCTGTAGTAAAGATTTTCTGCATGGCCATCTTGTTTAATCATTTCTGATAACTATGTACATCTTATCAGATATGAAGATAAGGACATTAATAGTTTTCTACAAAAGTCCAACAGTTGTATCTCTTAAGGAACAAGGGATGAAGATGTTTTCTACATAAAGGGAACCTTAATTTCAACAAAATATCTTCCCTTTTATAGTAAAGATTCTCCGTAAGATCATTTTGTATAATTATTTTTATGAGTTTGTGTCATATCCTATCAAACGTGGAAAAAACCATGAATAGTTATTTATAGAGATCCAATAGTCACACCTCTAAGGAAATAAGCGATGAAAAAGTTCTCTAAATAATGAGAAGGCTTGTTTACACATTCATCAAATATAGAGGCATGGACATGAATAATTCTATTTAGAGACTTAGCAGTTATACCCCCTAAAAAATAAGAGATGCATAGTTCTCTGCATATACTTTAAGCTTTTCATCCAAAGTTATTTTCATTTGTGGTAGAGATTCTCTGCAAGATCATTTTGAAAGATGTATCATATCTTATCAAATATAAAAATAAAGACACAAATAGCTCTCTACAGAGGTCCAAAATTTTAACCCCTGGTGAATAAGGGATGCAGATATTCTCTACATAAAATGAAGACTTATTTCAGCAAAAATTCTTTCCCTTTGTATAAGATATTCTCTGTAAGGTATTGTTAGTCATTTTTGATAGTTGTATCTTATCCTAACAATCATAGAAATAAATACGTGAATACGTATCTAGAGAATTGCAACAGATACACCCCTAAAGAATATGAGATGCATAGGCTCTCTACATAAAGATAAAATTTGTTTGTGTAAGCTCTTCCTTTTGCAATAGAGCTTCTTTATAGAATCATCATGCTTAAAAATATAGGGTCTGTTTATTTCACGTAAAATATTTTTTGAAAAACATTTTCCTCATTTTTTAATATTTGTTTGGAGGAAAATTGATTGGTCAATGTAAAACATGTTCAATAAAATTTTCTTTGTATTTTCTGAAAAATGACTTACTGTTTGATTTTTCATAAGTCATTTTCTGAAATTTCACTTCAAATTATAAATAGTCAAAATAATTTTATTTTATGTATTTAATTTTAATATAATATTTAATATATTATTTTAATCAAAATATTAATTATTCAAATATTTTAAAATATATTTATTAATATTTCTAATAATAGAATATAATAGTTTTAATATTATAATAACATACTCAATTATATTATAATAATACAATATACTATATTTTTTTTAATAATATATAATAAAATCATTAATACAATTTATATTTTTATTAATTTTTATATAACTAATATTTATTAAATTATTAATATTGAAAAATATTATTTTCTATTTAGTTTAATATAATAATCTAATAATATTTTAATAAAGATTCTTAAAAATATAATTAATAATTTTCAAAATATAATTTCTAATCACCAGCAGCTGCAACAACAGGATGATTAAACGTTCATTGTCAAATGGTTGAGAGTATTTAGAACATATACTACTTTGTAATCACTTTAACTTAATAAAAAATTATAATTTGTAAATAAATCATTTTATTTATCTAAAACTATAGTTATTTTAAGAGTTGGTAAGGGTGTTCAATCTGTTGGTTTGATTAATAGATCAAATTGAACTATCCGAAATTTACTAACTGGATTTTTTCCTTCAACGTTAATTGAATCGAATTTGTTTTTAAAAATTGACAGAATCAAACAAATTTTAGTTAATTCGATAGGTTATCCTAATTAATCAAAATTTATAAATAATATAGAAATAACTATATTATATATTTAATATTTTCAATTAATTATATGTTAATTTAGTTAAATCAAAGTTTAAACACCCCTAAGATTATTATTATATTTTTTAAATAACCCCTAAGATTAAGTAATTTATAAATAATATATAATATAAATATTTAATAATTTTTAGTTAATTCAATTAATTTTGAATCAATTAAGTGATAATCAAAGTTTAAAAAACACATTAATCATTAACAGATCGAACTCCAAATTATTCAACCAACTAATAAAAGAATTTTAATTTAATTAAATAGTTCACTTAAAACTGAATTTTGAACTCCTAGAGGGGTGGATGCATTTAGAGTCTAAAAGACCTTCATAGGGTTAACCATTTATTTATGGGTAAACTATGTGAATAATTCTCTTTGTTTTCTATATGACCGACTTTGGTTAATAATTTAAAAATTAAAGATAAATGATGCCTAACGTTATCGATCCATCCGATTTTAGTTTATTCACCGTTAACTTTCGTTAACCCTTTAACGAAAGTCAATGATAAATAAAAAAATTCAAAATCCAAACCCACGTGTCTTCTTCTTCTCTTTCTATTAAAAGCCCTAACCTCAAAGAAAATAAAAAACCCAAAAATCGTTTTGAGCAACTTTTCTTCTTCCGTTAATAACCTTGAGCTCAGCCATTGAAAACCATAACACTAGAAAATCAAAAACCCAAAAATCATTTTGAGCAACCTTCTTTTCAAACCAGTAGTAAGAATAATTAACCAAACCTTTATTCAAACCAACTTGTCCCGGAAATTAGGATCGACATGGAGTAAAATATTGTGTTAATGGTGAGGGACTAAAATCAAACGGAGCGATAATATTAGGGATCATTCCCCCTTAATTTTTAAATTGGTGATCAAAGTTGATCAAACTAAAAATATAGGGGACTATCCGCATAGTTTACCCTTTACGTATTTGGTTGGATTAGATAGATGTATAATTTGTAAATAAACCTTCCCGAATTCGGATCCCTGCGGCCCGTTCATGGAAGAAGTTGAAGATGCCACCGCATCCCAATCACCACCACAACGCCGCCAACTATGCACTCGTTGTGACCGTCCACTGCCAGTGTGCCTCTGCCACGCTCTCCCTCCTACCCCACTCCCTACCAAAACTAAAATCTTGATCATCCGCCATCCTCACGAGTCCAGACACAAGCTCAACACAACCCCACTCATCTCCAAAACCCTTCTCAACGTCACCACCGTTTCTTCCCGCCGCCTCCTCCGTCATCACCTCCCAACGAATCCCCACCTGCCATCTACCTCTTCCCTCCATCCCCTTCCTCACCCGCCGTGACTCTATCCCAACTCCAATCCACTAACCTCCTCGATTACAAAGCCACTCCTCTTCTCTTGATTGTTTTCGATGCCACCTGGAAGCATGCCAAGGAGATGGTGAGTGCCAGTGAAGGGGTTTTGAAGGATCTCGTCCAAAGGGTTTGCTTGGACGGAGTCGATGAGAATGTGGTGGGGGGAGTATTTATGACAATGAGTTGGTTCTAAGGAAAGAACCCTTTGGTGGATGTGTTAGTACCCTGGAAGCTGTTGCTAGGTGCTTGGGGGTCATTGAGCCTAATGGATATGAGGTTCAAGGGGTTTTGATTGGGGTCTTGGGGAGATGGTGAGATTGCAAGCTGGGTTTTTGAAGCCTTCCAAACCTAGGCCCAAGATGCTGAAGAAGACCAAGCACAAAGAAGACAACCAAAATAAGCTTGGTCAGTTTTATTATTGTTCGAGTTTTGAGTTTGATTCTTCTAATTTTGCTGCTCATGTTTGAATTTGTGTTATATTTCACACATTTGCTCCTTTTTGTCCAAAATATGATTCTTTTGCTTAGATTTTTTTAGCAACATGTAGGGATAAAAAAACAAGTATCAATTCAATCCAAAATTTATTAGCTTCCTTGGTATCTTGATTGCTTTGAATGGCTGGTTCAGTGGATGATCTAGCTGGATGATGAACTCTACTATATGAGGCGGTTGATTATTCATTTGAATTTCTCAAGTTCTCTCATTTTGTTGGCATCATTATGCCTGAATCATCTGTAAAATGCGTTAAAATTTAGAAGTTTATAGAAGTGCACAAGTTGTAATAACAGGAAACCACTCATTAACTACTATGTCGACAAGGGACAATCCTAATAAAAAACTTTTGATGGCAACATGCTTATAGATTTGAATTTCTGGAAGCCCTTAACTTAATTATTAAGTGAACTGTTATCATTTTCCTTCAACTATGTTTATATTTAAACTTGCTCCTGCCCATGTAAGTAATAGAAGGATTGTGAACGCAATGTTACTTGTTGTAAGTGTTGTATATTGAAAAGTTAATATTTCAGTTGGGTGAATAACTACCAGGCATTTCCCAGTCTGATGCTATGTTACTGTGTGTGCAGACTAGAAAGTCCCTGCAGATGGGGGCGGATATCTTGTATGCTTCCGAACTTGGATAGCAAGCTGTTGCGTTGGAAAATGTCTTGGAATATATTCCTGTTATTAACTTGTTCTCTGGTACTTGGTGAACATTTGGATGTGGTCTTGAGAAGGCACAATGAATCTTACATTGCCATGACCTTTCGGAGTCACAGTTAGTAGATTTTGATTTCGACTTCTTTTGGCATACGCCTTGCTCTCTCGAGGTCATGTTGAGGTATGGTTTGTTGGCACTACAAGTATTGTGGTGTTGTGAAGATTTGTTGAGAACTTCTGATGAGGGTGGCACCAATGGGATGCAACAAGAGTTGATTGAATGAGCATGCTTAACGCTTTCCTTTCAAGATATGATCTTACTGCATGTTTCCTTTATGTTATGTAATAGCTAATTTCATGCGAGTTCTCCTTCACGTTTCATCCTAGGATTTGCAAAATGAGAGAGGAAAATCAAATAGATAAAGATTGCAGAATATCCAGCAGATTGAAAGTTGAAAATTTATGTTACATCTTTGGTAGGTTTGAGTAGGGAGTGTTAGGTTTGGTTAGGTTTTTCAATAAAATGTGAATCGAACTGCAGTTTGTAAGTTTTTAAAAAATTGAAACCGAAACCGAATGACATAAAAACTGTGGGTTTTGGTCGTTACTATTTTTCAAATTCAATATCAAAATAAAACAAACTTAAAGTTTAATTCGAGTGTAAATGTATAAATTTAAATTTATAAAAACTATTATTAGTTTTAAGATTTTATTTATTTAAACTTATCTTATAATAAATTTAAAATAAATTTATTTTGGGTAATTATTTGAATTGAATCGAGCTGCACAACTCGGGTTGTATTGATTTTTCGATTTTCTTGGTTTTGTTGCCCTGCCTTGTTTGATTAAGGATTTGCAGGGGAGACGAAGATTAGAGATATCAAGAATTTCTATCTCTTGCGTCTCTTTTGACGAACGGTGAGTTAGTTCTACTGGTATTTAAAAAATGTTATTATATTTAGGGTAAATTACACAATGGCCACTAATATTCGAATAAGTTTTTGTTTTCACCACTAAAGTTTCAAAAGTAAGAAATTGGTTACTAGCATTATCAATTTGTAATAAAATAGTCACTCCACCATCATTTGATTTACATTGATGACATGACGATGTTAATGATAATGTTAATATTTATTTTCACATATAAACTATTATTAAAACATCAAATATGTTATTGAACAATGATTTTATACCCAATTTACCCCAAAAGCTTTTTAATTTCTATTTTTTTCTAAACACCCTACCACCTCTACTATATTCAAAATACATTCCTTACAAAACAAAAAACCAAACTTAGATAATTTGTAACCCCTTTACTCGACCTATAAGTAATAGGTTAGATCCAGAAGATCCACTAAATTGTATCTCAAAGTAAACCCAAATTAAATAATAAGTATTGAAAATACTCCTCACATTTATGGTTTTCAAGAATTTGCATTACCCGAATTAATACTATAAATAATAAAATATATCATTAAATTCCAACGTAAACCAAAGCCAAAAATAATAACGTTCAATGTCCAATGATGCAAAAATATTAAACACTCTGGAAATAATAAATAAGTAATAGATGAGGGAATGAAAATAAAAGTTTCTATGAAATTAAATGATGTACGGATTCCTAAATCTGAGAATCTGAAAAAGAACTATAGGGTGTAACCTATTAAACTTAGCGTGTCTCTAAAATGGAAATAGTTACAAATATCAATTCACAAGTTAAAAGTAAAATATGAATCAACAGTAAAGTTCACAATTCAATTTATATTCAAATGAATATGCACATATACACCTTACACCTTCCAAAGAGTAGATTCTCTAGAACCATTTTATACTAACACCTTCTGAAGTGTGGTCCATCTCAAAGGGAGGAGACACTAAATCTAATGTGAAATTCACCCCGTCGGGTGAATACACTGAACTTCCCCTATCAATCTCAACCTAGTAATGACATGGTAACATGATATATATATATACTCGAATTCTGATCTGATCCAAATGAAAAAAGATTTACATAATCACGTAGTTCGAATGCATAGCGTAAAGTCTGAATCTGATAAATCAACATGCGGTACATGACATTTATCCTAAATACATTTAATTCAAACAATTTCACAAAACAATCATGCTTTCAATACAATTCCAATCAATCAATCAACCATCACAAAATAAATATAGCATCAAATAGAGACACACCTCGACAAAATCGTGATATCTCCTATGATCATCTCGAACAGCGGGTCGGATCGAATCAATTCTTATAGAATAATTTAATAATTAATACTATAATAAACGAAAAAGTCAATCAAACAAAACATGTAAAACTAACTCTCATGGTTCATTCTAGTAACACAGGTTGGTTTGAAATTAACAGGTAACAGTGGATGAGGCTATAATAGTTCATCATTCAAGCTCTCTTTGTAACAGCCTCAGACCGATGCGGGTGACTTGATCCGATCTGAGGTGTCACATTAGGGCCACCGGAGCGAGCCACAGTAAAAAAATCCAGGAAAAAATAAAATATTTGTTAAAACGTGTAAAATAATAAAACAAATTTATAAATAAAATACAAGTTTAGAAAATCATTGATATATACAAACAAAATTAAGATCATACAAGTTCCAGACTCAATATATATATATATATCAAATGTGACATACATGCCCCTTGATTACACGTTGTACCGTACTCTACAAGGAAAGCCGAAGGAACTCTCAATACTGAAGTTGATAGCTGCACTTGATTTAACCTGAAATGGTTAGTAAAAAGTGAGCTTTGGGAAGCTCAGTAATACAGAACTACCAGATGAATGCAATAAGTCATCAGGTATATGGTAAAGCATAACCTTCCTTAGAGGACATACATCATATTATAGCGGTGAATTCAGATTTCATTATCTAAGTCTTCAGTTACAAACATAATTTATGGTCTGAAGAAAGTATTCAGATAGACAGATTCAAATATTGAATTGGGGAGTCTAGTGTGTTCCAACAAAATAGTGAAATATGTATAGATCCTTTAAAAACATTAGTAGTTTTAAACATGTTTTGAAACCACATTAATATCCTCCAACCAACACCGATTTGTATTCCCATAACTACATCCATAAGGACTTACCTTAGGCCCATGGGCGTAGGAGCCAACCTAAGGGATTATCTTGGGGCTTAAGAGCCCCAAAGGAGTACCTTAGGGCCTAAGAGCCTATCCAAGGAAGTACCTTGGGGCCTTAGAGATTACCCAAGGAAATGCCTTGGGGACTTAGAGCCTACCCAAGGCCACCTTAGGTTCGTAAGAATTACAGCTTGATCAGAGCTGAACCTCCATACTCTAGAATCCTACCTAGACAATATCCCAATAATAGGTTCATACAGTAAACAGTAGATTCCATGTTCCATAAATTAGGAACGATTATATTTTCTAGTGAAAACAGGTAACCAGAGAGCACATATCATGTAGCCATAGGTCATAAATAATAAATCAATATATTCGGTAAATCACATTTTAAGATAGATAAAATAAGCATATAGCACATAGGGAACACACTAGAGGATCCATTTATTTTTAGGAGGTACTTAGAAATTATCAAGTGGGAAAACACGAAACCTTTTCAAATTGATTGAATTTCAAACGAGATCCCTATAAAAAGGGTTTTAATAGCTAACAGATTCATCAATCATTCAGGAAGTGATTTATCAAGATCATAGTATTTAGATAAATTAGCAAGGTAATAAGGAATTATTGCATCAAAATTTATTTAGGATTCATACATTCCTAAAGTGATTCCATCAATCAGCCTTATAAGGGCATTTTAGTTATCTGATTTGTGAGAATTTTTGGTAATTCAGTTTATTAAAGGAAACAGCGATTTACATAATTCCATATTTCAATCATCTTAATATGTTTTCATTTCCAATCACACTATATAATTCCCAACAAAGGCGACACTTATCAATTATGTAGGTAGAGAAACTTCACGAATATTCTCTTCTTAAGATTGGTTGCATTGCAGAATTGAACTGATCACCTTCAGAACCATTTTTTGACGGATCATGAGGAGAAAAAAATGTATTTAAGCACTACTTATTTACTTATCGTATTGTAATAGTATTAGGGATGATTGGCCGACTTAGGTTGTACTCTAAAAATCTCAGTGACATTACAACATTTAAAGCTTCATCGGTATCTTCAGAAGTTATCCAAAGGCATTTACTTAATCCAAGTCATAAGGGTATTTAGATCATTCTGGTATTCGAGGTAGTTTTATTAATTTCAGAGCTTATGGGTATTCAATCATTCCAAGGCTTGGGGTATTTTGGGTCATATCACACTTTAGGGGTATTTTGGTCATTTATAGTTCAATGGTATTTCAGTCATTTCCTTCCATCCAGTCTTCCATTTAATTCAAACTTGTCATTTATTTCAACCATTGCAAACAATTTATATAATAAGAATACTTTCGATAGGTTAGTCTCGGGTGTATGCTCATAAATAATAAATTTTGGGTTTAGTACCTTCTCATAGGTTACGAACTGTTTATCCTAATATTTCAAACAAAATAGGAACTTAACAGTTAAATAATTAATTTATCATATTAGATATGAATTCTCAGGGTAATTTCTCAATTAGGGTCAATCCAGACCATTTTTAGCTCTCAAGGGTAATTTCATAATTTCTCATCTAGGTATTTTTGGTGTTTTAATTTTCAACAAGAGTAATCAAAATTTAAGGGTTACAAGGTTAACCGCTTCCCTGGTTAATCATTGAACTTGGAATAGTTCCTTATAAATCTTCTAATTTCTTATACGATCTATCAAAGTTTTATTTCGTTAATTACTTTTTACCGTATTCGGATTATGTTTGAAAATAATTAATTATACAGATGAGACGAAGCATATTCATCCATGCACTTAGCAATACCAACATGTACCATAAAGCATGCATAGGGTAGTAAAGTATTACCTCTATTTTTGAGCCACTTATATCGACCATTTAAACTTTATTCGATTGCTCTCGGACTTGATTTTGACGTCCCAAAAGTCTCATATACATAGCAAAATATATTATGTTAAAAACAAAACAAAACTTAACTAGATCAAATCAGAAGATATAAACGCTGAAAATCAGCTTACCGAGTTTGAATTTGGTGAAACATACCTTAAAAACGGACTTAGGACGTCGAAAAACATCAAATACGGCTTTTCGAAAAATTTGATTTTTTTGTTAAAGTCAACAGTCAAAATCAACAAGCAGGTCACCGATCATCGGGCAGGTCAAAGTTAATGGTTTGGGTCATGATCAATGGGTAATATCGGCTTGGTTTTATTCAGGCCAATTCGGGTTGACTTGGTTCGACTCAAATTGACTCAGACCGATTCGACTTTCGATCCGAGTTGACTCATACCAATTTGAGTTTAGTCGAATCCGTTATAGGGTGTTCTAAGCTTGGAATAAGCCCTACGTGCACGCAGTGGCATGTGACGACGACAACAAGTT